GGGGGAGGGAGGGCGAAAAAGGAGGGAGGGAGGGGGTGGGAGGCGAGGAGGGGAAGAGACAAGGAGGGGAAGAGGCAAGGAGGGGGAGAGGCAAGGAGAGAGAAATTAAGAGTAGGGAACAATTCCAAACCAGACACGTACATCAGACAGTGCCACGGGAAGCCCCTGGTGCAGAGGATCAGCTGGATGGTTGGTGGGCTGGAGACTGAGCCACCCGGATTCATCCTCTTCCAGGCCCAGCAAGCTGTCGAGGGACTGGCGGGTGCTGGTGGATTGCCCGTCGGCACAGGACGTGTCAGCGACCACCGAGTGGCCCCGTGCCAGGCCACGACTGACCAGGAGATCCCGCGCCGCGGCCAAACCCACGGTCGAGGGCTTGCCAGTGGGGAGCCCGGCCGCCCGAGCCAGCATCGAGGTGACGGCCGAGCGTGCCGCACCAAGTGCCGCGCGTGCCGTGACCAGGCGCCGGGTCAAGGGAGCCCCACCAGGAGCAGCCACCGGTGGGGGGAGACCCACGGTGGGGTCCGGCCGGCCCAGGGATTCGGTTAGCCGATGCAGTCGCCGGACCGGGAAGTGCCGGGCAACAGGATGCCGAGGAAGCTCGACATTGATGGCCCGTGACCCGGGCAGCGGCTTCCCACCGGTCCGGCCCCGGCGCATGTACCAATGTGCCAGGACCCGGTGGAGGGGGGTTCGAGCACCCAAGCAGGCCGTCGGCCGGCCGAGCCAATCGGGCGCCGAGTAGCCAAGCAGCTGGGTAAACGCCTGGCCAAAAGCCGGGAGCACAGCACGCATGGCCGAGGCGAAGTCAAAACGCAGCAGGGCCCCACGCTCGAGCCACAAAAGGCGGGCTCGGTTCCCCGGGACGCCCCCCGGTCCACCGGGGCCCGTGCCGAGGACCACGCCCTCCAGCGAGGCGGCAGACCGCCGACGTAGTCGTGTAGGTGTGTGTCGCAGACAGAAGACCTTCTTCTGGACAGCACCCGCCTGCGGGCCATCACCCTCGAGGTTGGCACTCTCGGCCGAGGACTCGTTCGTCGAGTCGGACATGACCATGGCAAGCGACCGGTTCACCGCACATTCGACATGCATGACGGCCGTGCTGCGTACGGGCGCAGGAGGGATGCTTGGTCAGAGCGAGAGCCGCCACATCGCACCAGGCGCCAGGGGGAGAGGGACAGCGCAAGGCCCACGCGTACCAGGAGGAGGATGTACACTGCAGGGTGGCGCCTCGGGTGGGATCCGACACGCCGCACAGATCGCACACGAGGGCGGCCGCGGTGAAGCGAGCCGGATCGATGTCAGCCACACCAACGACAGGCTCCATGCGCCGGACCGATTCCACGCCCACCGGAGGGACCCACATGGCGCAGGAAGCATGGACCCACTCGCCAGCCGGGGTCTGCTTCATTGGGCAGAAGCCCCCGGCCGGGTGGTGACTGGAGGCCCGGGGAGGCGGACAGAGAATGCACGGCGGCCGGGCCGGGCCAACCGGCGAGAAGAGCAGCGGTGCGGCCTCGCACGTCTTGCACAGCCACCCGGTCTCCGGGACGGTCTGGACACCGTAGCAGGCCTTTATTCCCCCCCCCCCCCCGCCCCCCGTTTCCATGCGTTCAGCCAGGCAAAGGAAAGGCGTCAGTTTCGGGACGGACAAAAGGGGAGCACCACAGGCCACGGAGGAGGGACGCCACACGCACCATATGCACCACGGCACCGCAGCTCTCGCACACGACCAGCTCATTCGTGTCATCGAAGGCATCATCCCGGCACGCGTCACAGCGGAGAGCTATGTCACAGAGGGAGTCAAGCTCGCCATCGGCGGAGCCGCTTTCGGGCGAAGAGCGGGACCCCCGCAAGGCGCGATGGAAGGCAATGTCGTAGTCGGCCTTCCGCGCGTGGACATAGTGCGCCGGCAGCAGGCCCAGCGAGTCCGTCTGGGCAAAGGGATCGGGCACGCCGGGCTGGCCGGGTGCCACGGGAAACTGGAAGAAGCCAGTGGTGTCGGCCAACACCGGCGGCAGGTAGGGCAGGCACATGGACAGGACCAGCTCCTCGTGGGCATTGTAGACACTCTCAAAGGTGAAGAGGACCTGCCCGCAGTGATGGCACCCGGATGTCGGGAAAGTCAGCCGAAGGTCGATGGCACCCAGAAGCAGTCATCCACGATCAACAGCATGCGAGGAAGGGGGCGAGGGGAGGGGGGAGAAAGAAAAACCGGTCACACCTTTTCCAGCAGATCCACGGTCATTGGGCGGCCCAGGCCCCCGAGCAGGTGATTGAGGTGGTCCAAGAAGACAAGGTCCTCCTCATCAGCATCATACATCACCGAATGCGGAGAGAGGAGTGCTGATGCCGGGGGACCCGGCTGTTGGAGGTGTCGAGGCCCCTTCGGCACGGTGAGCCGCGCCGGATGCAGATCGCCAGATTGCCCGCTGACCCCGAGGCGCAAAAAGGGGGGGGGGGGCGGAGGATGGGTCAGTGGCGGGAGGTGGGGCTGCTTGCCGCGAAGGGGAAGACGAACCCGCGAAAGATGCACATCTCCAGATGGGACATGGCCCAGCTCATGAGCGGGCTGTTGAGCGACGCTTCGGTGCCACCGGGCAGCTCAACAGGACGCAATGGCCGATTGGCCTGATCGTCGGGACTGTCGACTAGTGAACATACGCGCCGGGGGGGGGGGGGGGGGGGCAAAATTTGGGGGCCATATGATGTCAATGTCGGGATCAAATCCACTGGGGGCGGCTATGGCCGAGAGGAGCGGGAGCGCGTGCGCACACACGCGCGCGAGGGGAGGGAGAGCGAAGAGGAAAGCGGCCTCAGAGAAGGGGTCGACCTACCGCGGGAGAGCACCATATGTCGAGGGCGCTTTGATCCTGATCGTGAGGAGGGCGAATCCATCGGATGCCGGAGATCCTTGCCATATGCGCAGTCCTCGCTGTCCCCACCAGGCCAAGAGAGAGAACAACCACTGGCAGACTCCTCGGCGCGCAGGCGGGTTTCCTTGAGGGGGGGAGAGGGGTGCCGGTGGCGTTGGCGAGGGTGGTACTCTTCCACCGGCGGGCTGGTGCCCCGCCACAAGGGAAGGGGTGACATCCCTTCCAGGTAGCTGGTCGGGTCATCCATCGAGTAGAGCCGCGACAGACGGTCGGACGCCTGGCGGCTGGCCGCGCGTGAGGATTTCCGTTCCACCAAGAGCGGCGGAGGGTCAGCCGACGGTCGCCGGGTGGCTGAGCCTGCTGCAGCGTGGTCGTCCATTGGGCGGTTTTCTTTTTCCGCCCCCCCTCCTACAAGTGCGGAGGACAGGCGAGCGGGCCAAATGCACAGGGACCGAGGGGCAACAGCGGCTGGATCGGGGGCGGGGGGCGAGACAGGGAGAGAGGGAGAGAGGGAGAGAGGGAGAGAGGGGGAGGGGGGATGGAGACTGGATCCATTGCGGCGATGTCACCCCCCACCGTGCGGGCTCTCATGCTCGGTGGGCTTTCGTCCACCCACCGGCGAGATCTCAACGCGCAGGGCGCCCGCGCCCCTCTCCGCGCGCGCGCGCGCGCGCGCGTCCTTCTCCCCTCTCGGCCTCGGGGCGGGGCGCTCCTTTCGTTACGCAGGGGGCCTGATTTCTTCAACGGGGGACAGTGGGGGCCACCGGCGCCAATCCGTTGGGACTTGGTGGATGGTGATCGGGATTGCTGTTTCGACCGCTGCTCTATTCACGGCGACCGGGGCGCCGGGGCTTCATGTTGTGTGGGGGCGGCCCCGGGTCTCCTCCGGGGCGGGGGCTTGCGGCAAACTCGCCACACTCGTCTCCCCTAGCCGCCACCGCCTGTCCCTTCCGCCGCCGCCGCCGCCGCCGCCGCCATTGTCTCGACCACTGCCCCTTCCTTTTCTCGCTCCTCTCTCTCTCTCCCCCCCGCCTTGCCTTGCCTTGCCTTGCCCCGCGCCTGGATCCATGCGTCGGTTCTCTTACTCCGGGAAATGAACCTGCTTCCCAAGAAGAGGTGCGTGTGCCCGGGGCTGCGGTCGCCCTCGGGGCTGTTGCTCTTCATTCCGCCACTGACCCCCCCCCCCCCCCCTTCTTTCTGTCATGTAGCTGGCACATCCGGCGGTCTGACAACCTCGCGCGCATTGAGCGCGATGAGGCCGCCGCCGAGGCCGAGCAGACCGAACACACCCGTCGCCAGGTGGCCGCCGAGCGAACCGATCGCTTTGCGGCTCTGCGCGCCCGTGCCGGCCTACCACCGGCTCCGGAATTGGTGACGGAGTTGCCTCCCGAAGAGCAGGGCCGCCCAGTTGCGGCTGCAGGGGCTCCCACCCTTGCCAGCCGCGGTCCCGCCGCCACTCATGCGGCAGCCGAGGCTCCCCAAGTGGCACCTGCCACCACCACCACCACCACTACCACCACATCCCGGACCATGGCGGATTTGGAAGATTTCGCCGCCTCAATCGTACGACTTCCCCGTTGCTGCCTCCAACCGCCCGAGCCCAAAGATGGGTCACTTACCTGATTTCGACGTCACAGCTTGGCCCGAATCGACCCTTGCCGGCGGCCACCGATCGTCGGCCCCCTGGCCAAATGGATGATCTTGAGGACGTGCGGACTCGCAAACAGCAGGAGCAGCGAAATCGATCGCAAGCTGACTTCGCAGCGGACCCCTCCTTCCGTCCGGATTTTGGTCCGTCTTCTGTGCACTTGTGTGCCGACGCAACCGCCAGCCCATGCCATATCTCGGGTCTGACCCCCCCCCCCCCCCCCCGCCCCCATCCCCACCTCCACCCCTCCGGTGCCCCCTCATCCCATGACCCATGTCTCGACGACAGCCCGCCAGGCGCTTCCCTGGTATGCCGGCGGCCAGCACGGACCCTTTTCGCAGTCCGAGCACAATCTCAAACGGATATCCGAGTGCGTCCCTCTGCGCCCCCCTGTCCTTTGGCATCCTGAACATGGATTTGTCGGCTCAGCATGGATGACCTAACTTTCGATCGATTGCCGCCTTCGGCCCCCCCCCTCCCCCCCCTGCGCCGGAGCCAGGCGAAACAGCCGTTCCGATCCGAATGCTGCTTTGGACAATATCTTCGAAGCTGTGGCGCATCAGCGCCTACAGGCGTCCTCAAGCCAGCTGCTCCTGGCGCCTGCTCCCGGGAGTGACATCGCACTGCCGCAGGACTCGGGCGCCGCCCGACCGCCCGAGGCCCCCACCGCCGGTCGACGGGAGACCACCCGAGAGAAGATGGCTCGCTTGCGGGCGGAGCGCTTGATGCGCGAGCGCGAGGAGCGGGCCCTCTACTCCCCGACGCCTGGGCGCTATGAGTCGCCACGCGCCACGAATGATCGCTTTTTCATGGCCGTTCCCCTGCCATCGGCACAAGCGCCAGCAGACATGGAGGAGCCGAGGGCCGCTCACCGGACGCGGCACCGCCGCCACGGGGGTTCCCATTCGGGCCGTCGCTCGCGTTCACGCTCACGCTCACGCTCGCCGCCCAGCCGGAGGAGACGCCACCGCTCGCCATCCCCAAGGAGGAGCCGAGATCAAGATCACCACCGGAGGCGCGCCTGACTGGCGAAATGGACAGTCCCGGATCTCTGTCTTTTCCTTTTGTTTGTATGTATTGCATGCCCTGCTCGGGAGAGGACCAGGACAGGAGGACGCTTTCTCTCTCTCTCTCTCTCTCCCAACAGCACAGGCCTTCAATGCGGCAGGTGGATGTCTCGCAGGGAGGTCGACAGAAGTTCTCCGAGCGCAGTGGCCTATTGGGTCGCGAGCAAGCGCGTGTGTTGGGGAGGGAGGAGAAGGAGGGAGGAGGAGAGGGAGGAGGAGAGGGAGGAGGGGAGGGAGGAGAGGGGGGCGGGGAGCGGGGACACATTTCAAGAGGCAGGGACGGCAGGAAGGGAAGCGGACCTTCGTGCGGAGTGGCCCCAGAGCCACGGAAGCTGACACAGGCTGCGAGTGGAGAACCACCAGGAAGCGGGCAGCTCGTGCCACGGCGAAGGCAGCCTGCAGGATGGAGTTGCCATGTCGGTCAGTATGCCTAAATACATCTGCCCACCCTCCCCGCCCCCTCCCTGGCTTCCCCCCTGCCACCCCATCTGCCTGTGTGTGGGGATGTGCATGCGCAGGCTTTGTTGGCAGGCGGGGCCTCGGACACCCGCGAGGTGTCCGACAGAAAAAAACGGGGGCGACGCACATTTTCCCACATGATGACCAACGTGGAGAGCTGCTCCTCGCCGGCGGCCCCGGCGTGCTGCGGAACCAAGGCCCCCGGAATCGAGGGAGCCGAGGTGATGTTGAAGGCGGCATGCGCAGCGCGGGTGTGCTGTGCCCAGGCGGCGGCAGCGGCCACGGCAATGTCGCGGCTCTGCCGGGACAGGGGCCCGGCCGAGTCGAAATGCGAGTCTGCCTCATCGAGTGGGACAGTTCCCGGACCATTGGCGGGGGCTTGGGCGATCTCGGCGCGGATCATTGCCCCGGCGGCTTCGGCGTCGGTAATGTCACCCGCAGTGACGCCCGGAGCGGCACCCGGCGGCACGGAGGAGCCGGCCCCGGCAGCCGTGCCGGCAGTCTTGGCACGGACTGAGGAGTAAGAAATAACTGCGCCATCGGTGGTGATCAGCCTGGCAGCAGGGTAGAGCAGGGCGGGAGATGGGAGGTCATTATACATGTCCATCTTCACATCTTCATATTTCCCATATCTGTGTGTGTGTGTGTGTGTGTGCGCTGGCCAACGCACATGGTGCTGATGACCGAATCCGAGTTGGCCTGGGCAAGGAGCGGAGGAAAGGCCTTGATGCGGAGCATCGCACAAATGGAAGAGAGCCTGGTTCGGTGGAGAGCCTGGTTCGGAGGCGGGCCTGCTTCGAAGGGGGCAAAGGAGAGGAGGGAGGAGGGGGATTGAAAGGAGGCAGGCGAGGCAGGCGAGGCAGACGAGGTGGAGGAGGGGTGTCCCATGTATTCCCCTCCCAAGCCAGGGAGGGATGGCGCTGACAGCAGTGCCTCATGTTTGTCCCCTGCGAGTGTGCTCCGTCTCCGTGTCCCGGCGCCCTTCCTGGATGTTGTTGGCCCCCGATGGAGATGGTCAAACAATTATGCAGTCGCGTGATACCAAATCGATCACACCGCCGGATCAGCCGCGACTTGCGCCCGGGGGCGCCACCCGTCCCGGTGGCACTTCCCGAAGGCATGCCCTCCAACCGGCTATCTCCCACCTCGACACACGGGCATGTTCACGCACGCTTCGGGCCGACTGCCGTGGTCCACTTTGGTGTATGGCTTCTGGCCCACGTCCCCCGGGGGGGGGGGGGGGGGGGGGGGGGGGGGGGGGGGGCTGGGGGGAATGGCCCAGATCGCTCGATCTCGGGCGGCCCAAGACATCTATAAAAGTAGATCGATCTTCGAACCCATCCCTCAGCGGAAGGGCAACCTGTCCTTGTGTGCCTTCCCCTGCTTCTCTTTGCCCCCCCCCCCTCCCAGCCCCCCCTCCCTCTGTTTGGTCGTCCTTCCTTTCCTTCGCGGCGCCTTCACCCCCCCCCTCCCGCTTCTCGGCTTTGATTTCTTCCACACCCCTGCCAAATGAGCGCGCAAGATGAGGATCTGGCCTTCCGCCATGCGATCCCGCTGGTGACGCGGCAACTCTTGGGCCGAACGTCCCTGTTCAATCGCCTCCCCGAGTCGGGAGCCGTGCCTCGAGCGCCCGGAGACGCCACCGGGCCCGGGCCCGAGGATGTGGCCCATTGGTTGGCCAGCTGGACTGGCGGCTATGGACCTCTTGGTCAACGTGCGACTTGCGGGTGCCCGCCCCCCCCCCCCCTCTTTCTCTCTCCCTCGGCTCCAAGCCCCTCTTTCCCCCTCCTTCCCCCCCCTTTCCTTCTTCCCTTCCTGATTTTCGTGCCCCCCTCTCGTCGTAGGGCTTGGATGCCACCCGCGTGTGGCCATGTCGGCCTGCCGCGCAGCCAAGGCCTACCTGGCCGGAATGCGCCCCATCCCGAGCGCCGAGGCGCCGGCACCGGATGCCAGCCGTCTGGAGGAGCCCCCCGCCTCGCAGGGCACCCAGGAGGCAATGTGCCAAGACTCGCCCAGCCCCCCTCGGCCGGGATCCCTGGCTGGGGGCGTCCGCCTGTCGGACCTGCTGTCGCGGTCGATCAGCCAGCCGCGCATTTCGCTGCTCTGTCGGGCGCTGAACCAAAATCTCAGCTGCTCGATTGCCGATCTGTCGGCCCTCGAATATCTGGCTTCAGGACGAGACACCGGGGCCGCGTTGGCGTCCGGCCGTGCGGCGGCCACCCACCTGTCGGCCCTCTTCGCCGGGGGGCTGGATTTGGGCCGTGTGGTCGAACTCGCCGGGGCCCCGGGCCTGGGGAAGACCCAAATCGCCATCCAGGCATGCACCATGTGCACTCTGCCGGCCGACGCCGGGGGCGTCGGTCGACCGGCCCTGTACATCGACACCGAGGGGAGCTTCTTGCCATCACGCGTTCGTGAAATTGCCACTGGCGTGCTTGCCGATCTTGCGGTCATCCGGCCGGCCGCGGCACGCGGTGCGTATATCGCCATGCGCAGGTCCCTTCGCGCCTCCTCCATTCTGATCCACCGTCTCTTTGTGTGCCTCCCCCTTCGGCCCTTCCCCTGCCTGGGGTGGCTTTGGCCTCTTTCAGATCTTTCCGTGGATGCCATCCTCGATAGCATTTTCCATGTCCGGGTGCACGATGTGACCGAGCTGATGGCCGTGTGCACCATCCTCCCGGACTTGGTGGCCGAGAAGTCGGTATGCGCCCCCCCCCCCTCCCCCCATGCACTGTCGGGCTTTGTTCAAGCTTCCCTCCCCCCATGCACTGTCGGGCTTTGTTCAAGCTCCCCCCCTCCCCCCCCCATGCACTGTCGGGCTTTGTTCAAGCTCCCCCCCTCCCCCCCCCATGCATGGTGCTGACCCTGCCCCAACAAAGATTGGCCTCGTGGTGATCGACAGTCTGGCCTTCCCCCTGCGTCATGGGGAAGGGGCACGCGTCCGCTCCCTCGCGCTGTCTTCCATAGCTGGGAGTTGTTCGGATGCCGCGCTTCGTGGGAATTGCGCCGTGCGTTTTCCGTCGCGCCCTCCCTCGGCTCTCCGCCCTGTCCTCCACCGAGGCCTGTGCTCGCCACCTTTGACTTTGCATCGGCCTGACATCTTCCCTGTCCTGGTGGCAGGTCCTGCTCTTGAACCAAATGACCACGCGCTTTGAGGGGCGCTCCGCTGGCACTGGCTCGCTGGCAAACCTGCCAAGCACGACCACCGATTCGGGGGTGACACTTGTCCCGGCTCTCGGCGAGAGCTGGGGGCATGTGTGCACTTCACGCACGGTCCTCACCTGGGACCGCTTCTCCAATCAACGGTGCGATCACCTTCGTCTTGGCTGCTCTCCGGGCCTGTGCCGCTTCTCGCCTTGTCTTTCGTGTTTCTGCCATACTGACATGCTGGCCGCCGTGCGGGACCGGCACCTGTCTTCAGGATTGCTTATCAGTTTAAGTGCCCTGTCCGCGGGCCCAGTCGGGTCCCGTACTCGGTGGAGGTGCGTCTCTCTCTCTCTCTCTCTCTCTCTGCGCTTGTCGTTCGAGCAGCTGGGGCTGGCCTTCTCTTTTATTTTTCCCTCTCGGCCCATTGTCCCTGACACAGAAGCATGTGCTGCTTTTTGGGGGGCTCGGGCCTCGCCTTTGCTCGCTTCCCTTCCCCTTCATCGTCACAGCAAGGGGGTGTCCGGGATCCCGGCTTCCGGATGCTCCTGGCTCGGACATTCCCCTCCCCTTCTCCGACTGTGGGCGACGAGTTGAGCCGGTCTCCTCCCGCCCCAGAGCAACAGCCCCCTCTGAAGCGGCCAAAGCTCCAGTAGGAAATAGAGATCCGACATGTGCATGGGTATCTTCCGATCTCGACATGGCACCAGACTGTGTGTGTGTGTGTGTGTGTGCGTGCGTGTGTGCGCATGTCAAATGCTGAGGGATATTTATTGGCTCGTCGAAAAAAGACAAGGCAACAGAGACATCGGTCGGATGTGAACACCGTTGGTGGGGTTACTGCTGCTGCTGCTGCTGCAAATAGATGGGTTGTTTCTCATGCCGATGCATTGCGATGCATGGATGGGGTGTGCGATACTATACAGGATGTGTGTGTGGTCGGGCGTAGGATGTATGGGGGGGGGGACACAGGACAAAGAAGCGGATGAATGAGCAAAGGGCCGGTTTTTCTTCCCTTCGTGGCCCTCTTCACCCTCGGCCACACAAGCTCCATATTGCGTGCATTCACCACATGGCTGACACGACCCACGCCCACCACTCTCACTCGCGCCCTCTTGCCTGGCAGCGCACAGGTACAGATGTAATGGATGTACATGCGCGCGCATGCGCACGGCCGCGCTGGGGGATGAATTGAGAAACTGGGGACAGGTTCAACCACCATCGCAAGGGAGCTGGCATACGGGGGGGGGGGGGGGAGGGAGAAGGGCGGAGAGAGGGAGAGACACACACACACACGGGTTGGGAACGGCGCTCGGGCAGGCTGGCTGGCCAGCCCCTACTGCGCATGCAAAGGATGGGGGGAAGGACACTCCTGAGAGGTGTTTGCACCTGGAGAGAGTGCCAGATGCCAACCTCAGCCGTCTGGGCCTGCACCGCCTTTGGAGGAGGCACACTGCAGGACAGATGGCCGGGCCGCGACCTCGCGAGCACGCGTGTATACACTCACATGAAGCCGCCAAAGCCGCCACCACCAAGGCTGCCGCCGGGGCCAAAGCGCCCGCCCGGACCCGGGGGAGGGTGCTGACGGAAGGCACCGGGACGGGCACCAGCAGCACCGGGGAACTGCACCCCGGGCGGAGTAAAGTGATCGGGATCAGGCTCGCCGGTGATGCTGAAGCCGGCCCCCATGCCGGGCTGCCCGGCGCCATAGTACACCTGATCCGGGTGGCCATTGCGCGAGGCATTGGCCCCCCCGGCACCGGTGGACCCTGGCCAGTTGGGCACCGGCTCCGGAGCCCCAGGCGGGGCGTAGGGGTCGAAGCGGGCGGCCGGCGGAACCCCGGGCGGCCGGGCGGGGAAGCCGTCGGCGCCCGGGCGGTATCCGCGGAAGGTGTCTGGTCCGGCAAACATGCCGGCAGGACTGCACGAATTGCCGAACCCAAGGGACAGGAGCAGGAATGGGTGTGAGTGGGAAGGGGCGCGCGAAGTGCACGCACAGGCGCATGTGCGTATGTGTGTATGCATGTGGGTACAAAAGCACGGAAGTGAGGCGGCAGGGTCTCTCGGGAGGCCGCGAGGGAAAAAAAGACAGCCGACAGGCACGCACTTGTGAGAGAAGGGGTCAAGGTCGCGGTCGCCGATGCGCGGGAGTTGGGACGCAGGCGCCGGCCGAGTGGGCATACCCGTGTGGGCTGGGTCCAGGGGGCTGGCCGCGGGGCACGCCAGTTCCCGAAGGGAGGGGGGAGACCAAGGAGCAGGGTCATCCAGAAGCAATGGACCGCGCAACAACAGAGGGACAAAGGTCAGCCGACGAGGAGGAGGAGGAGGAGGAGCTGGGAGGGGGGGGGGAAGGCGGAAGTGGAGGAGGGGCGCGACCGACACAGGGTGGAGCACGCGACAGGACGGGTGGCACCAAGGAGGGGCGTAAAGATGGGGAGGGGAGGAGGGCAGTAGCGGTGGTGGTGGTGGTGGTGGTGGTGGTGGCGGCGGCGGAGGAGGAGGAGGAGGAGGAGGTGGAGGAGGAGGCGGAGGGGGACCGCATGGCGGCGGCCTTGGCGGCCACCTCCGACG